GCTGCTATACACATATCATACACAATACATATCGGTCGGTGTGTGAGTGTTCTTGCGTACGAAGTATTTCGGTACCGGGCACACGAACTATTATTGTTTCGTTCTCGGCCAAAACAAATGRCATATTAAAATTGTTATAATATTGAGAAAAATATGTATGTTTTATGTAATACAGTTCATATTAATCATTAATTTTTAAAACTAATAATTATTATATATTTTTTATTTTATTATAGATTAAAATATCATTATTTTAACTCTCAGAATTTATATTAATTTTAGAAAAACTATTTTAATTGACCTTCAAAGTTCAAACTGAATTCATAAAATGTTAAAAATTTCATCTTGCATACTAATTTATTATAGAATATTTATTGTAATTACCTAATGACTGTTGGCTGTATGCAACAGGTGTCACGATGCCACCTGTACTTCCACTAGTACCATAATATAGACAGTATAGAGCACCCATGATGAATAGAAGAGCTGTAGTGACAACAGCTTTAAAGCAACCACCGCTACCATTGGCCGTATGAGTTAGCTTCCTAATACAACAACCAGTAACTATATTGGGGTTGTATCTATTACAACCACAAAGTGACACACCATCAGACAGGGCGTTAGAGACGCTACGCCGTTCCGCCGTAAACATAACAATGTTGATGATTAATTTTGTTCACAACCAAAATTTTTTATCACTGAAACAAATAGATTTAATAAAATTTATTCTAAATTTTTAATTGTATTTTATTGATCACAATTAAAAAAAAAAAAAAAAATAGTTATATTACCAACATTTAATTGAATGTATAGATATTAATTAAAATATTGATTAACAATGAAAAAAGTAAACAAATGAAATATTTGAATATAAGCGCCAAACTAAATATTTATTGGTAGTTTTATCAATGTTTAAATATTATCAAAGTCCATATATTATTATTTGGGCCAGATCAATTTATAATAACTAGTGTTCGGGACTTTTTACACTTAAAATTATCGAAATTTGCAGTAAAAATCATCAAAATGTGCTTTAAAATATGCAGCTAATTTTAATTTTTTTTTTTTAAACATTTAAAGTATATTATTATTTATTTATTACTATTATAAAAATAAAAATCTAAAAATTAGGTAGGTACTTAATGTAATAAAAAATAATTTTTACACGGGTTACTCATCTGTTTCGTCTTCATGTTCATATCATCAAAAATAATGCAAGCGTGATGATGATATAATTAACGAACGAACACGTCATACTACTTTTCATTTCATCGTACAATTCATATCCAGCTAATAACAGATTACTTGGGAGAGTTTGAATTTATATTTGTTTCATGATAAATCTGTAGGTAAGAGTGTAGGATTACCACAACTATACAATAGTTGTCAATATTGTTGATAAACAGGTTGATTATTAGGCGATTAAGAGACCATCATCGTAAACAGACGTACGTGTTAGATATKACAGACTACGTCCATCCAATTATGATTTTTCCCGACAATACGTTTATAAAAAAATAAAAATGTTAAATATGCCCAAATATACTAAAAATTGCTGAAATATGCGCTTTTCTTAAAATATGACGAAATATGCAAAAATATGCGAATTCAAACTTAGTATTTAATTTCATCATTTCATAAAATAAATTTATAACTCACTTAGAATAGACTATTATGATCAGTATGATCACTACAAAAAGACATGCAAATGCAAGAAGTCCCGAACGCTAAGAATAACAAGTCTATACCTCATTTTGAAATAATATTCAACTAATATTTAGTACATTTTATCACAATGTTTATTATATAAACATAGAATTTAATCAACTGCTGATTCAATATTGAATTATGCTCACATTTAGTGTCTATTGAACCTCTAATATAGTTCATCACTATATTTAGGCCAGGGTGTCAGTGATTCCTATCCTAACCATTTTTATTTAACAGCGCACTTGATCATTTGAAAATATTTCATGGCACACTTAAATCAATAATAATGAATATAGATAATGCTATATTATATGATATATTGTTATAATTATATAAATTTAATGTGATGTTCGAGACTCCATCTGCGTACACACTGCAGCAATAATTCCACGACAATCAAAATTTTTCAACTAAATTATTAACTAATTCAAATATTGTACAGGCTGGGTACGATAACAATAATAGTACGCGACGCCCGGTCAMCGAAATACTTCGCGCGTTACAGGTACACGATACACCGCTGCTCACTAACCGACCTATGTGTGTGTGATGTATAGCGACTCAAAAGGAAGTGGATGGGGTCGCCGAGCAAGACCAGAGAGTACTAGTGTGTAGTGAATGTTTGAGGGTGTATAATATGTAAGGGTGTGTCGTGTGTATGTGTGTGCTTACAAATAAATAATAATAAAATGGTAACACGTTTCTGGTAAATAATTAATTGCTGTATAATACACCATATCAATAATAAATTAACAAATATATAAAAATCACAGCAACACACTAAGTATCGCTGTCCAGAAATCGGAAGCTCTGATGCTGACTTCCCGGAAGAGCTACACGCGCCCATTGTTAAAGCTAGGGGACCAGGTTAGGTTAGGTCCCATTGAGATGCAGCGATTCATTAAGTACCTCGGTGTGCTAATGGACTCGTTCCTAACTTTTATCGACCATGCAAAGTTAGCGGGTTCAAAGTCAATGAAAACAACTAATGCATTGTCGAGAATACTTCCTGCAACATCGGTGGCCTTTCGCCCAAGAAAAGAAAACTACTGGCCGGAATAGTACGTAGCGCCAACATGGGCCTCGACAGTAGTCAAACGCGCGCATTACCTAAAACACTTTAGGGCAACCTACAAGAGTGCTGCTCTTAGAGTGACGATGGCATATCGCACAACGTCGTACGAGGCAGCTATCGTGTTAAGCTTCATGACCCCCATCGAACTTTTGGACACGAAAAGGGAGAAAATTAGAAACTGCACCAGCCCAGAGGAACGAGCAGAGGTCAGACAACAAACCATCAGTGACTGGCTATCAATATGGGACTCTTTTCCGAACGGGAGATGGATATACCGGTTACTGCTCGACATCAGAAGTTGGAAATTTAGGAAACACGGGAATCTGAGTCACTATATTCCACAAGCGCTATCAGGCCATGGTTGCTTCGGCGACTACTTACATAAATATAAGATCGTGGGCACGCCGAAATGCATCATATGTGATCACCCAGATGACAACCCGGAGCACACCATTGTCTASCGCGATGCCTGGTCTGCTAAGAGAATAAGGCCCTATCCCAAGTTGGGTGAGAGTTTAACATCTGAGAGGATTAGCAGTAAGATGATGAAGGATAAGAAGTCGTGGGATCTAATCGCGAACTTCCTGGAGTACAATACGGTCACCAAACTCAATGAGGAGAGGACTCAGCAGCAACGCCAGCAACAGCTACTAATAAGTAATAACACAGTAGTTAAGTTCAAATCTGTAGGCCGAAGTCCAAATCAGGAGGGTTAGAGGCCCTCTATCAAATGTAAACCGCAAGTCGGTTAGTTAAGAAGTCTCTGTAAATTGGTTATACTTATTCTTGAATAAACGATGCTCTGCGGAGAAACAGTAATGTGAGACCGTTGTACTTGCAGTAAAAATAAAGGTAGATACTAGGTAAATGATTATGAGTGRATAATCATGAAATTAAATTCCCAATAAAACTTAATCACAAGAATTTTGTAAGCAACGATTTTATCGATTGACTATTTTTCAATATTATTTCTACTTTTTAGTATATTATTGACTAGTGCGATAGTCCTAATGATATTTTAATGACGTAGCAAAATTATTATAGTGTATTGTAATAATATTATACTGTTGTAAAAACGTGTGTAAGACATAAGTGTCTGAATATAATATTTTTAATATTATTGGTTTTTTCTTATGAAAATCTGAATAGGCCCGGGCCTACCAGGCCTACCTACTGGCTATGCCTCTAAGAGTGACTTAGCATTCACATAAAATATGAAAATTCTTTGAAGAAAAAGTTAAAAGGAATAAAGTTACGAATGCCTTGCTAAAAAAAGATAGGAAAATACTTAAAGATACCGATCAGAAAGTAAAACGTTGGAAAGAATGTTTGGAAGAATTATACAATGGAAATCTAAATGAATACTTACTATAACAGAAAGAAATGTTTAAAAAAAAAACAAAGGTGAATGTATTCTTCAGTCAGAATTCGACGCAGCGTTGGAAAATGCTAAGCACATTAAAGCAAGCGGAATTGATGAATTACCAGTAGAGTTAATCAAAAATGGAGGGCAGGCTACTATAACCACAGAATAGAATAATGATAACTAAGTTATATGAGATATTATTTAATGATATTATATATCAAAGAAGAGTGATGATAAATAACTTTAAACACGGATTAGTCATAAGATTTTATGTAGAATCATAAAGACATGAATAGCGAATATAATAGGCTCAAACTTAGAATAAGATAATTTTGGACCTAGGTCCAAACTCTATTTCATTGATATCAATTATAATATCCAATATGTAACATTCAAAACACAAAACGATTAAATTATTTAAATTTACCTGTGAACTGCTTATTTTGAATTTGTTTTTCATATAATTATTAATACAGGTTATAAATAACTCGTTATAATTTAAAGTATCAAGAACTATCATTGGGAATTTATATACTTTTTGCCTTTTGTCTATTTAAATTACTGTTGTATCATAGGTTATTTTTTTAGTATGTAACAGAAACATTTTATATTGTTAGTGGCAAATTGATTAAAGTACATAATTAAATCAAATAATAAAATTATATTTACCTATTTTATAACTCAGTAGTTAAGTAATTAAAAAGAAAAAGCTCCAGTTCTATATATTTGACAAAAATTATTACAAAGATGTCAAAAAAAAGGCTTAAGTGATACCAGTGTATAGGTAATAACTGAAGCTGAAATATTTTTGAGTCTATAAAATTATAACCAAAATATAAAATATACATAAATCATGATGTATTATTATGAATGTTATGTATTTAGTTTTCAAAAAATAAAATAAAAATATCTTTTTCCTACAAATATTACAACCTAATTCGTTAGAAGCACAAAATACAAAATACATAAATATATAATTTACACATTAGTATAGATTCAACAAATTAATATAACATAAATATAAATTTGTATTTTTTTTTTTTTTA